TTCACTTTTAACTTCCCTTATTTCTTTCTTTCATTTTCTCACTGAAACCAAGTAGCGTCTTTTGATCTCTTTCCACACGTTAAAAACAGGATAGACCTTTATTTATGAGATATTGGCAGGGCATAGTGTAGACCAAAACATATATTTTTAAAATATGCTGTTTATTGTCTACACTACACATATTTCGTCTTAGTGTTTTGTCTGTATATGGAAAAATTGCGCCCTGAAGATGACAATTTGAAATTGTTGAAAGTACTTGGCTCGTCAATTCCATCTGACTACAACTTAAATATAAATATCGTATTATTCAAGGAATTGATAGTAAGTTAATGTCTCATTAAGTCTTGTTAGCGAAGTGATTTCGCCTTTAACATTAACATTGCTAATTAAATCTTTATATAAATTACTTCTTTATGATCTATAATATATAAGATGCACACTCATATATATGTGTTTGTGTATGTGTGTATGTGCTGGGTGACCCAAAAGTCTGGACACCTATGCAAAAAATGAATATTTTCAAGAAATGAAAGACGTCTTCATAATTTATAACTTACCCCTAAAGATAACCTTCGAAAAGATCGAAAGTACTTGGGTTAAATAAAACTACGGCGTCTTACTTGATGAATTTCATCTAGCATCAAGAAACTGATGAGACAACCGGAAAGGATCAGTATAAAAATAAGTAAACAAAATATGTCTGTACTATTTAACGAAACATTTGAATATATATACAGAGAAAGTAATTTCCGGGCTATGGATTTCAGCAAAAGAGTTTACCTTTATTTTAGTTGCCAGTTTGAAATAAGTGTCACTAAGTTGTTTCTTGCACGAGTATAATTTCATATATATATATATATATATATATATATATATATATATATATATATATAGTCTTAAGGTGTGCTATATTTATGGAATAAAGTGCTCAATATCAGAGCGTGTGTAAATATAAAAAATAACATAGAAGTCAACACTTAGAGCATATGTGGCCTGACGATTGCATATAGCATGAAACAGACTGTCGCCTCTAAGTGTTGACTTCTATGTTCACTTTTATATATATATATATATATATATATATATATATATATATATATATATATATATATATAAAGAAACAAGTGGAAAAACTATTATTAACCGGCGTGTTCCGTCCTCTGAGGGATTTTATTAAGGCGATGTAGGATTTATTTTGTTGCACGTGTTTATGTACAAAAGCAAGGATCTCATTGATTTATCAAAGAATGGAAATTCTTCTCCTGTTTTGACTGAGCTTTCAACCACTGGATGTATATTCATGAATGTTCTCAACTTACTAATTTTATATATCTACTGAATTCATTTTCGATTTGCTGATAGTACAGGTTCTGGATTATTCTAATATCCTTCCCAAATATGCCAAGGTTAACGAGCAGTTCCAACAGTTCTGTGCCGGGCTTTATGAAACGCTTTTGCATTATCAATAAAACATGGGTATATATATTTGTGCATTTGTATTGCTCTTTCTGATAGAATTCAGAGCATAAATAATCGCATTCTTTGTTCGAGTGTCTTTAACGTACCCGCACTGTTCTTGTCCTATTTCAGGTCTGATTCTGCTACGCGTTCTATTTGTCAGAATTCTGATGATAAGTCCAATTTCTGATATTACGATAATTCCAATGTATCTAATATTTATTAAAATATGTGATCTTTGGAAAAATGCAATGCATACATACTCTTTATACGCAAATAAATAACAATAAAATTATCGAATATATAGTTGATCAACTTCAGATGATGGCACGTCATAATGCTTTTAAGAGAGAACACATTTCACATTTAGTTGACGTCAGTAATTAACGTTTTCTATGAAACGTATTTTTTTTAATCAGTATCACCCCATGCAAGACAGTAAAGCCACTAAGACACAAGGAGTTACAGGGTAGGGAAGAATTAGGAACAGAAGCATTAATAATGAGCAGGAAGAGGAAAGAGTAATCAGGAGGACAGTAGATAGCGATTGACAATGCATTTGATTTTTTGTATATTAAAATTAGCTGAAAAGCATGGAGCCGGAATGGAGTTCCACAAGTGAGAAGTGCGAGAAAAAATGTTAGCGTAGATATTACGGTTACATCTAACCTGCTCAACTGTAAATCTATCTATCTATCTATCTATCTATCTATCTATCTATCTATCTATCTTTTTAATTGGTAGCACCCATGTAAGGCAGTAAAGCCACTAAGACACAAGGAGTTACAGGATGTGGAAGAATTAGGAACAGAAACATTAATAATGAGCGAGAAGTGTAGACAATAGATAGCGATTGACATTGCATTTAAATTTTAGCAGATTAAAGTTGGCCGGAAAGCATGGACCCGGAAAGGAATTCCACAAGTGAGAAGTGTGAGAAAAGAAACTGTTAGCATAGAACTTACGGTTACCTCTAGCAAACTTAACTGTGAATCTATCTATCTATCTATCTATCTATCTATCTATCTATCTATCTTTTTAATCAGTATCACCCCATATAAGGCAATAAAGCCACTAAGACACAAGGGGTTACAGGGCGTGGAAGAATTAAGAACAGAAACATTAATAATGAGCAGGAAGAGGAAAGGATAATTAGGAGGACAGTAGATAGAGATTGACATTGCATTTAAAATCATCTATCTTTCTTCTTTCTAATCAGTATCACCCCATATAAGGCAATAAATCCACTAAGACACAAGGGGTTACAGGATGTGGAAGAATTAGGAAGAGAAACATTAATAATGAGCGGGAAGAGTAGATAGCGATTGACATTGCATTTAAATTTTTTGCAGATTAAATTTGGCTGGAAATCATGGAACTGGAAAGGAGTTCTCAAGCAAGAAAAGAAAATGTTAGCATATAATTTACGGCTACATCGAGACAGCTCAACTTTACATTGATTAAATCTTGACGCTAGTCTAGTACTGCGCTTAAATTCGTAAAGTCTAGGTACCATAGCGAAGAGTTCGTCTGAACAATTACCATGAAAGTATTTATAGAAAAGGCATCGCGAAGCTACTTATACTTAGAATCAGAAAAGAACTGTAGAAATATCTGTGACTGAAGCCGAGCCGCCAGATCAGGACCAATAATATTGCTGATTCTTCTTTGGATCTTATCACGTAGCTCAAGGTAAATAGCAGGGACACCGGACCATATGTGGCAGCAATATTCTAAACATTGGAATAAATGTGACATCTGTTAATAAATTCAATATATTTATCTTATCTGACGAGCTGATTTGTATCTGTGAATCTCGCAGTTGGTGCACAGGTTGTTTTAATTTTTATTTATTTATTCTAGGCGTTTATATATGTTGGACATTTCATTTGCAAAAAAGCTACTTACATCGAACACGTAATCAGTAATCAGAGAAACCGCAAATGCTTTTGGTTATAATGTGGATTTGTTTTAGTGTATATATTATATTTTATTCTTCATCTTTTTGTTACACGTGTTTCCGATCTCATGACTTTCTTCAGGCAAATTAAAGGAATCAATTTTTAAAGGAATAAAATTGTTTTTTTAATCTTTCATTGTTCATTTTCTGTATTTTTACTGAGCCTTGATCTCATTTTTGGACCGTTGGCAAAAGTAAATTTATGCCAAAGTGATGATAAAATCATTAGGTTTGGTCTTAAGCTCACTCTTTCTCTCTTTTTTTTATATATATATATATATATATATATATATATATATATGTGTGTGTGTGTGTGTGTGTGTGTGTGACTGTTTTGTCTTTTTATGGTTTATCAACCTCTTTCAGTTTATTTAAAGGCAGGGAATGTTTTTTGATTGTAAGAATTTTTGATATTATACTGACTTTTACTGATACAAGTTCTACTAATTAACCCATAGCCGGAGGGATTCATACCTTTTCCATTTGTGTTTAAGTAACTATGACGAACACGTCTGGAGCAATAAAATATCTATTCTTTATATATATATATATATATATATATATATATATATATATATATATATATATTATGAAATGGATTAAGTCCGACAATTATTTAATATATTTTCTGTTTAAATTATTTAATACAATTCCAACGTTTATATATATATATATATATATATATATATATATATATATATATATATATATATATATATATTCAAATTTCGATAATATGGGTTTGACTTAATTAACTACTATATTTACATAATATTCACTCCACTCTAACTCTTCAAATGTCGAATGTATGGCTAATTCTAATTTCTATATTCACCCCCCACTCTATAATCTCTTTACCGATATTAATTATCATCTATAAACTTTCCCCTACTCTAAGATCTCCCCAACTCTCTTTCCATTAATCCATTACATTCTTTTATCTATATATTACAAATTTATTTTTAAACCTGTTTTATTCCTCTTTTAATTTTAAATTAATATTTCATTCTTCATAAAACCCCAAATTAATGTCATAAGGTTAATGTTCGGGTTTAATTTTATAAAACTTCTTCCTTTTAAGACAAATCCCTTCCACTTTCCCCTGATCCCCTGACTTGTGCCTTTCGTCTGACTGAAACATTGAAATCGATAAATTCTGTATTAGTTTTTCGATTACTTTTAACTGTAAAATATCTATTTCTGACACGAACTCAGTCCACACCGGGGTTGATTTGACAGACGACCGATATCTGTCGAAATAGGCTATTACTCATATGAGGTGATTTGGGATTTTATTTTTTATTAATATTATGGAGCGGCTTGGGGATAGTAGCCGTGTTTCGTGGGGGCACAGTCCTATGGGTAGGGGAAACTCGGATGAGTTCCACCACAGAATATGTGATCGAGCGGCGCTATATCGAGTCTAATTTGCAACCTCTTCGTCACAGAGGTCCGTTGGTGTGAATTGATAGTAAGTTAATGTCTCATTAAGACTTGTTAGCGAAGTGATTTCGCCTTTAATCATATTAACATTGCTAATTAATTCTTTGTATAAATTACTTCTTCATGATCTAAAATATATAAGCTGCACACTCTAACATATATATTGTCGTAGAAATTGCTATGAACTTATTAAAACATTAACTGTAGAATTAAGTTTCATCAGAAATTTCAAATAGGAAAACAGCGAAATTTTCACAGGTTAAAACTAGAAAGAAAGAAACGGCCGTCCAGTGCTTTCTACATTCTGTTGGGGTTTCTTCTGGATTTGATGAATTATTTACTTATGAATATGATTATCTCAAAGCCTCTTAATAATTTCTATAATATATATATATATATATATATATATATATATATATATATATATATATTTTTAGCTCTGCATTTACATTGAGCTCTCAGGATTTCATCTTCCTTGGAATTACCCATACGGATTACCAAGTTCTTCATAACTTAAATATATATATATATATATATATATATGTGTGTGTGTGTGTGTGTGTATCAAAGTATAGGGTTAGTGTAAACGGAATAAAATTACAATAACCAAAAGCGCTATCCTTAAAAGAGTGCTCAATACAGAGTAAAACAAATATATATATATATATATATATATATATATATATATATATATGTATGTATGTATGTATGTATAAAAAGTTTTGTTAAATTCAACCGGCAAAAAAGAAGAACAACAACAAAAAAAAAACAGCAAAAAAAAAAAAAAAATACATGCTTTTCCAATTAAATATCACTTTGAAATAATTCGAATTTGAGCTATCTAAAAAAGCCTGGATTTCGTCAAACTCTGTTTACCATACTGCCAAAACACAGTTCTTCATAATGACTGAGGGAGTCAAATGTATTTGATAAAGAAACAACAAGAGATAAAAAAAAAATCTACTTTTGGCAGTTTGTTCATAATTTCAGTCTTCATTTACAATGTCTCACTCGCCAAATTGCAAAAAAAAAATATAGTATAAAATCAAATAGAGCTTGTCGGCTGAAAATCTGTTTATATTTCTGAGACAATTTACTGGACAATTTACACTATTTACATTGTTCGGACTGTTGTCCTCATCTTCGTTGCCATATTCACGACGTTTCAGCCATTGTACGCTCCGACCTTCTTCAGGATCTGCCTATATTTCTGAGATGCGGTATTGTAATTATTTACACTATTTATATTGTTCGGACTGTTATCCTCATCTTCGTTGCCATATTTACGACGTTTCAGCCGTTGTACGCTCCGACCTTCTTCAGGATCTGCCTATATTTCTGAGATGCGGTATTGTAATTATTTACACTATTTATATTGTTCGGAATGTTGTCCTCATCTTCGTTGCCATATTCACGACGTTTCAGCCATTGTACGCTCCAGCCTTCTTCAGGATCTGTCTATATTTCTGAGGTGCAGTATTGTAATTATTTACACTGTTTTCATTATTCGGACTGTTGTTCTCATCTTCGTTGTCATATACACAACGTTTCGGCCGTTTTACGCTCCGGCATTCTTCAGGATCTGTCTATATTTCTAAGATAAGGTATTTACACTATTCAAACTATTGTTCGGACTTTTGCCCTCATTTTTGTTATATTCACGACGTTTCGGCCGTTGAATATGACAATAAATATGATGACAACACTCCGAACACTGTAAATAGTGTAAATAATTGCAATACCTCATCTCAGAAATATAGACAGATCCTGAATAAGGCCAGAGCGTACAACGACCGAAACGTCGTGAATATGGCAACGAAGATGAGGACAACATTCCGAACAATGTAAATAGTGTAAATAATTACAATACCTCATCTCAGAAATATAGGCAGATCCTGAAGAAGGCCAGAGCGTACAACGGCTGAAACGTCGTGAATATGGCAACGAAGATGAGGACAACAGTCCGAACAATGTAAACAGTGTAAATAATTGTAATACCTCATCTTAGAAATATAGACAGATCCTGAAGAATATCGGAGCGTACAACGGTCGAAACATCGTAGATATGTCAGCAGAGATGAGGACAACAGTCCGAACAATGTAAACAGTGTAAATAATTGCAATACCTCATCTTAGAAATATAGACAGATCCTGAAGAATATCGGAGCGTACAACGGTCGAAACGTCGTAGATATGTCAGCAGAGATGAGGACAACAGTCCGAACAATGTAAACAGTGTAAATAATAGCAAAGCATATTTGGACCAAGTCTTGCTTCCTCAGCACACACACACACACACACACACACACACACGCGCGCGCGCTAATACATATGCACACACATATGTTATCGTAGACATGTTAGAGAGAATGCAAGCCATGTAGTAAAGTAAACGCGTTAAATTTCAAGAAAACAATACCAAAGCATTTAATAAAAACAAGCTTAAGTGAAACAGAGAAAAGGAGAGCAGCCCAGATATGATAAGATAGGAGAGCAACCAGAAGTTGTACAGAAAGAAAAGCACCCGATAGTTGTAAAGATGGGAGAGGAGCCAGAGAGGGTTATATAGACGGGAGAGCAACCATGGGATTTACGGGCGGGGGACGGCAAGATGGTCAGGATTTTTTTCAAAACGCACC